TTTCTTTTGTGTGTGTATGTGCATGCACATATGTATGCACCTATGTGGGAAGCCTGATGTAAATGCTGAGTGTCTTTCTCAATCACCTTCTACCTCAATTTTTGTTATCCCCCACCCCCCAGCTGAGGACTGAATCCAGGGCCTTGTCTAGCAAGCGCTCTACCACTGAGCTAAATCTCTCACTGAACCTGGAGCTTGTCAATTCAGCTAGACTGGCCGCCAGCAAGTCCCAGGGAGCCTCTTGTCTCCGCTGCCCAGTGCTGGGGTTACAGCAGGCACCTGCTGCCATGGAGGCTGCTGGGGGTCGAAACTCGGGTTCCCACGCTCGCAAGTACTCTGCCACCCAGCCGTCTCCCCGGTACTACGCTCTTTTTGTCAAAACACTAAAATGTAACGTATAAGTAACACATAGGTTGTGTTTACATATCTATATCTGTATAAAATAAGGAGTATAAATGTTTGTTTAAAAAGGTGAAGTGCAGCTGGGCAGTGGTGGTGTACACCTTTAATCGGGAGGCAGAGGCAGGTGGATCTCTGTGAGTTCGAGGCCAGCCTGGTCTACAGAGCGAGATCTGGGACAGGCACCAAAACTACACAGAGAGACCCTATCTCAGAAAAAAAAAAAAAGTGAAGTGCAAATGTGAATTTAACAAGAAGTTGTAGATTCTCAACACTGTACACAAACTCCTTTGTTACAAATAAATAGTTATGCTTCTAAAAAAAAGAAATTTACAGTGAGATACAGTCTCAAAAACACAAAGCAAAATAAAACTAACAAACATCAAAAACATTAAGCAAGTTCAGCTGAGATCCATTCGGGTGAGAACTCAGAAGCTTTCAGTTTGAGCAAACAGGCTGGGGAATTGGGGAACTGGGCCTGTAGTGTCAGGACCTCTCCCACCTGTCACATCTCTGCACTACCTTCCACCCCAGGCCTGCATCACCCTTGCTGGCCCCACCAGACTCTCTACAGTTGCCAGAAACTTGGAGGCGTTGGTGAGATTGCCATACTGATCAACCTGCTCAGTTGAGACCCATTCGGGAGAGGTTTCAGAAGCCTACAGCCTGCAGTCTGAGGAAACACGATCAGCTGAAGAGTTGATGAGCGAGCAAAATGCCACCTGAGAACACAAAGGAAGGAGCTGCCCAGCCACCAAACCAGATCACCAGAATCACAGGCCCACCCTACACTGACTGGGAACAGGTCAGGCCCCATCTCCAGACCGGCAGACCAGGTCTCTAGCCCTTAGGCCCCAGCCATCAGAGCCCCAGGGACCAGGCAGCTACCTTTCCCTGCTCCCTCACCAAACCAAACCAAACCAACCAACCAACCAAACAACAACAACAACAACAACAACAACAACAAAAAACAGGCTCTGCGAACCCAACAACCACTGGAGTCATAAGCCCAACCAGCACCAATTGGGAACAACTGCTCCCTGAGAAACAGAGCCCAACAGCACCAACCAAGAACCCCTAGTGGACCAAGACTAACAATTAGAACAAGAGAGGCACCTTCAGACACAGACATCGCCTGCACTGAGTGGAGGAAGAGATGAGTAGACGCCAGTGCAAAAATACAGGCAACAACATAAAGACCTATATGACACCATCAGAACCTAGCGATTCTACACCTGCAAGACCGGAACATACATACCAAGGCAGAAGAAGAAATCAATGCTAAAAATGGCTTTAAGAAGAAGATGATAGAGGCCCTTAAAGAGGAAATGAAAAACTCCCTTAAAGAGGAAATAAAAAATTCCATTAAAGAATGTTACCACCACTTGCTTTTGTAAATAAAGTTGTACTCATACCAAAAAAAAGTAATACATAAAACTGTATTATATATGAAGTAGTGAGATGTTCTGATGCATGACTATATCATCTAATATTTAAATCAGGTCAGAAATATCTCCTATTCATGTGACATTTCTTTATGGTGAAAAACATTTCAAGTCCCCTATTCTAGCTTTTGAAAACGTATGTCATTATTATCTAGAGGCAGCGTATTGAGCAATAACACACAACTATCTCCTTTCTTTTTGTTCTTTTAAGACAGGGTCTCACTTTATAGCCTTGGCTGGCCTTGAACTCACTGAGATCCACCTGACTCTGCCTCCTGAGTGCTGGAATTAAAGGTGTGCACCATCATGCCCAGCTTCCTTTTTAAAATCTTCTATCGAGTCAGGCTCCATATTGCCCAGACTGGGCCTTGAACTCCTGATTCTCCTGCCCAACCTTTCAAACGCTAGGGTTATAGGTGAGCACCTCCACACTTCTCTGACCACTTTCTGAAACCACTTACTTTGTGTGTGCAGTGGTCAGCGACAGTTTTCAGGAGTCAGTGCCTTCCCGCACACACGAAGTAAGTATTTCTTGGGAGCAAACTCGGCCGTCAGGCTGACTCACTGAGCGGTCCTGCTGGCCTCCGGCTTCTTTCTTTTCTGGAGACGAGGTCTCTATGTAGACTTGGCTGGCTTTGAATACACAATGTAGACCAGGCTGTCCTCAAACTCACAGACATCTATCTACCTCTGCCTCTTGAGTGCTGGGATCAGAGGTGTGAGCCCACCATGCCCAGCTTTCGGGATACATTTTATTTGTTTAGAATAACATATTCACGTCATAAATAACCACAAACACAAAGTCAGCTAGCTGCCACAGACCAACCCGAAGAAGAGAGAGCTGGCCTGCATTTACAGAGTAGGACACTAAGTCTTTGATGTCTAACTGAATGGCAGATGGTACACAGCAGACTGGTAGCAGAACATGAACTTTGGTCATGCTCATAAGAGAGGCGTCCTTCCTTTCTAAAGCACCGCTGTCTGCACAGAACAGTCTTTCTTTGCGTAACTTGAGGAGGGTGATTAACACCAAAATAGACTACTTGGCTCTGAACTGATGTGCAAAGGCCTTTTTGTTTCTTCCCTTGCATATCTAGTTTAACATTCTAAGTTACTGATTCACATAAGCTCCAGAAGAGGCAGATTATACCTTATAATAGAACAAAATAGTATTAACATATACCTTACATTGTTTTAGGTAGAATGTAAATAGTGTCTTAGATGCCCTGGTTCTCCCTCAATAATGGCTTTTCCCACCATATTCCTAAAATCTAATTAGAATTTCCCAAGGTGTTAATTAATACCTAGA